CTTGTTCAAGAGCTGCCTCCCTCTCAGTGTGTCCTCGAAGATGGATGCCTGAATCCTGCATCATTGGTGGCAATTATTGCACATGACAAGGCTGCAGTTCTAAGGATGAGTGGGAGGTCTTCCAGCACTGCAACACCCTGTGCCATAACAAGTTCTGGACCACTACATGAGGTGAGCAAGCCATCAACTGGAAGAAGCTCATCAGCTCAATACTACATTTCATCACATCCTCCATTTCATCACATATGTATGTAACAAAATATGAGAAAATCTGTGCAACTATACAGGCATCATGAAGAAGTTCCTCAATGTTGATGGTTGGCCCAAGAGTGCTGCCTACCTTGAGAATTTGCCTGCCTGGATCTGCTTGTGCTGTTCAGTTGAGATGTGCTTGAGGATGTGAAGCAGAATACCAAGCTAGTTGACATTGTCCTGTGTGACATCTCCATTGATGCATCTACTCACCACTGGGATCAGCACAGGCTGAACCAGATGATGGGTTACACCAATCTGAATTGATGTGGTATGACATTATTCATTGCTCTCTGAAACATGGCTCATGTGTTTGATTACTCCCCTGTCTTACCACACAGACTGTTGCTGCTGTCCTGATGACCAATGTGCTGGAAATGGCAGCTCTTCTCAACTTCCTTACTGATGAGAAGCCCCTGAAAGCTTCTGCATCTCATCTCAGGTAGCATCCCCAACATCTGCACTTCAATCCAGAGGCAATGCTGGTCCAGGACATCGCCAAGTTTCCCAAGCTCATGGCCTACAAGAAGCCCTCCCTCATCAAGAGGTGGAACCTGAAGTGGGTTCACATTGCTCCTTAATTGCATCAACTGAGTATGTATTTTGTTCATCTGACTTGGTGGCTACATGCTCTTCTCACCTGCTTTCCTACCAACAATAGGTCATGTCTTCTATCAGCTTGTCCTTACTGCCTACACCTCCAGCACAAAAGTGCAAGGAGCATTCTCAACTACACTTCACTTCATGCTACTCCACTACATGCCTGCTTCCATCTCAACTTCAGCTACCACATCAATGGAGCAACCAAACAAATCCAAGACCAACATCATCACAAGTGCTATCAACAGCATCATCCACTCCAACCCATCCAACATCACATCCTGTATTTCAGCAGCCCAGACTGTGGCACATCAACTCACCTCATCCAGTACCTCAACTTCTTCTCAACCTTCACCCCACTCCTCCATCTCAACCTCCATGGCATCAGCTCCTAGCACCCCTGCGCAGGTATTCAACCATGCCCTTTTTTTCGTTGCTGTGGATCATGACACAAGTGCCACAAGAACAGGAGCAGGAGCAGGAGCTGGAGCAGGAGCAGGAGCAGGGACAGAAGCCCACAACTCTGACATTGACCAATTGCCTGACCTTGGGACACTTTCCCCTTTCCACTCTGGTTCTGATGTGGATAGGAGTGAATACTAAACTCTGTCTTTCCAATCTTTACAACTTTTAAAATAAACTCCTTTGTTCACTTCCCAATTCATCAAAAAAAGCTTCCTCCTCTAGGTGTGCGCTCAATGACAATCGCCACCATGCAAATAAAATAAAGAACACTGGCTACCCCAGTAATCCTCACATTATGCCAACCACACCAAACTAATTTGACTTTGACTGCTGGCCCTGTTACAGTATCACATCTTTCACTATGATGGAATTTTGATCTGCCATATCTCAAGATGCACCCAATTTTGTCATGTTATTGTTAAAATAAAACCATTTTTGTGTTATCAAAACCATTTTTATGAGCTTAAACTCACAAACAAAATCACTTTTCTGTACGGAAAACTGTGCAAAAGTGCCATTTTTTCAGCTTTGTGCAGATCCTGCAGAAAGAGAAAGAATTGCCATGGTTGAGTTGGAAATGTACAAATCAAGACCTGCATCACAAGAAGAGAAAAATCAGTCATACTTATCTGACACACAGATGCATGCACATGAACAGGAAAGCAGACACACAACAAAAGCAACATGAAAAAACAAGTGTAATAAAATTAACAATAAAGAAGAAATACCTGATCCAATGCATGTTGGATTGGCAGGATGCACAGGAACAGGATAGTGGAAATGTGACAACACAAATATAAAATAAGAAATAGAATAAAATAGAAAATAAAATATAACCATGTGATCCAACACACATTGGATTGGGTGCACAAAAAAGAGAATGTTGTACCAGTTGCTTTTTGAGCTCAAGGTGGTGTTGAATCATTTGTGAGACTGTGGTCTGAAGAGCACTTGCAAATCTTCAAGTTGGTGTCACTGGAAGCTAGTAGATTCAGAATTGGGCAGCATGGACTTCTCCTCTGTGAGGGACCATGTGATGGTGGTGGGAGGTGTGTTTGGGAGCAGCCATTGGGGAAAGGTAATTGGTGACTTTGCCAGTTGTGTGATGGTGCTTGGCTAATGTCTTGGTGGGTGCCTCATCATCAATGTCTTTTTATTCTGTTGTTCATGTTCATGGTCCCAGTGAACATATTGGGGGAGGGAGGAACTTGGCAAGGTGCTCTGCCCCTGTGCCTCATGGTCATTCC